TTAAGCCCAATACGGTCCATTAAAGCCCAATCGGTTCATTACAACCCAGTCGATCCATTACAACCCAATACGGTCCATTAAAGCCCAACTAAAATCCACTAAACCCCAATAGAACATTTATACCCCAATACGATTCATTAAAGCCCAATACGACCCACTAAAGCCCAATAGGTCCTTTAAACCCAATACGGTTCATTAAACTACAACTAACATCCACTAAATCCCATTATGATGCGTTAAAGTCAACAAAACCATTAAAGCCCAATGCGATTCATTAAAACCCAACTAACATCCTCTAAAGCCCAATAAAACCGTTAAAACATTAAGAAAAGAAAAGTTAGAAAATTGGGGAAAATGAAAATCCGCCGGAAATCCACCATAAATAATTAATTCTTTTAAAAAAATTAGATAGCTATTACCGACGGATTTCCGGCGGACTCCGACAGCCGCCGAAAAAGGTTGATAATAATTATTAATTCTTTTTTAAAAAAAATTCGACAAATATTACCGGCGGACATCGGATCTGTCAGAAGTCCGCTGGAAATCGTTGAAAATAAATATTAATTATTGTAATTAGATTTAAATCCAATTCTAAAATAATTAATTAAGAAGTCCGCCGGAAACCCGTCGGAAATCCAAGGGAAATATTACCAGAATAATATTTTCGATGGATTTCCGGTAGAAGTCAACAAAAGTTGGATTTTTTTATGTCCGCCAGAAATCCGCTGGTAATCCGGCGGAAATGTTCCGCCGGAAATCTCGTCGGAAATGCCCATTATTCTAGTAGTGTGTGACTAATAGCGGCAAATATGACTATTATATATATGCACCCACACATGTTTTCAACTATACTCAAATTATTCATGATATTTAACAATTTATATTAAGTTACGCATGACTAATAACTAAAGACTAAGATATTAAAAATGTGAGGAAAATCAAATATCAAGTGCTATATAAATCACGTATTAGACTATGACGTGTCACAAGCTTAACGTAACGTGAGCTTTTTAGAACAATGGTATAAATTATTTCAATGTTAAAAACCACAAAGTAGACTTGTGTGGTATGATGAATTCGAACTCTTGAGAACATAATGAAACATATCAAACCTTTATCTTTCCCATTCCATTCAATATATCCATCCATAGTCAAAACATGCTAGTTTTAGTCATATATACCGTTTGTTCATTATTTTTCTTAATTATCACTTCCTATTTATTGCATATGCTTCTAGTTTAAATGATTACGACTTAAAAAACCATGAAGTACAGTTCTTGTGGTATGAGTTTGAACTTTGAGAACTTAATTAACACTATAAAAAAACTGGTCTTTATAGTATGGCTAGAAATTAAGTTTAAGTGTTAATATAATACTTTATAAAACTTAAATTTATAGTAACAAACTATAAAGCGTCTTAACAGAATATTTTATTGAGCTTAAGTTTATAGGAGCAAACTATAATGTCTGATCAGATAGTGTTACTATAGGTTTATATGATGATCTTGAACGTTTTAACAAGTTTTTCAGACGCTTTTAAAATAAATTGTTGGCATTTGTAGTGCAATTTCATTGACCAATGATTCCTATTTAGACCATAAAGTCTCTAATTAGTAATTAGGTAATTGTGTCATCAGACGGTTCTAAAAAATTACTACGTTAAAATCACATTGGAATACATTTATATGCCAAAGAGATTCTATTTATTTTCGTATTGTGAGATGTTTGGTCAAGTTCTATAACAAGCAAAACCCTCGTTTTGTGTTGCTGAGACACATCAATGTTAACGGCAAGAGGAGGAGATCCATTATTTTTGACCTGTTCGTATGCTATCTATAAAGAATCTGCTGCAGTGTTGGACTTTCTTATGATATATTTTGTTATAAAAACAACTCATTAGACGTAAGTTGGTCATTTAATTTGTTCTGTTTTGTCCAGTTGTATCTTACGAAATGTTGAACAACTGTTCTGTTCTGTTATGTTATGTTCTGTCTAATCCTGTTTGAACACCAAAGGCAGCATATCTGGTCTTTGTTGTATTTTTTTCATGGTGGATAGGTTCCTTTTAACTTTTGGGGTCAAATTTTACCACTTCACCTCCAGGACTTGCTGGAATAGGAATTCAAGATCCTACAATAATCACTATATTTTTCTCAATCAACCGGCACGTAAGACTTACGAAATGTCCGACTCAATCGAAAAATTAACATGTAACACACACGAGAGTAACCTTCTCCTCTTTATGCTGTTCTTGATAATGTCTTCCTCTCCTCTTCTATCTTCGATAGTAACCAATACCATCCCCACCCTTCGACTTTTCCTACAAATATTGTTGCATGACTCTTGACTAACATCCGGTATTTCGTACTTGCATAATGTTCCTGATTTCAGCATATTTTAACATCACAAACAAAAACAAAACTCAAAAGAAATCCTCTCACTCATTTTTCTATGACAAACACCATCACTTTGTGTAGATATATAGAAAACCTTATTTCAATGAAAATACCAACATAAAAAATGTTCAAATACTAAAATAACCCACATGTTTATGTCAATAAATTCCTAGTTAACTCTATAAATTAAAGCTATTAACGAGGCGGCGGATTAATTGAATTAGAGAGATCTTGAAGTTCAACCTTATCATACACAGCACGTCGACAATATATTGTCTTTCGGAAACTTATAATTTGCATATAAATACAAGCTCTGTATATTGCATTTCCGATTGCAAAATTGGAGAAACCGTGTTAAATATGTCACACAAAGGTACCACATTTTAGTGTTAGGCAATGTTGCATAATTATGTATATGTTATATAGTTTGCATAAACTATATATATAGTTGATCTATATATACGTTTGGTGTCCAATAATAAGATTTTGTAAGGCATGATCTGGATTTTTCCTATATAATATTTTGTTGAATGACATGATCTTCATGGTATGATGCTTAATCATATCATGCAGGTATGAAGGTTACAACCTTAAACGACAATGACTTGTATGTATATGAGAATCAGGTATGCAGATAATTTCATTCAAGTGTTACTAAGTCTTCTTTTCTTATCTTCTTTCTATTTCGAATTATTAACCATGTCATGGTTTGCAGACTCACCATTTTTGTTAGAAAAGAGAGCATGTTATTACGAATTTTTTTCAAAATTAACCTGATAACAGCTACTGCATATGACACATACGTGTCGATTTTAATTCTATTAAACTCGCTAATTGATACCACACCCGAAAACAGTTTTCCTCCTACCAGGCTACCACCATAAACGTGAACAAGATCTTCAAGAAACCATATACCAGGTTTCACCAGGGTTCCGTCACTGCTGCGAACCGTTATTGTAAGGTTCAGTGTCAGAACTCTCCCCATGAAACTGATCACTTGGTTGAATCAAGGGAGAGATCACCGAACCCGGATACATGGCAACCGCTGGAGGGTATGGTCCGAAGCTCAGTTAATTACGTTCCTTTATCACCCATTAGCTTCTTGGAGCGAGCGGCTGAAGTTYATAGAAACCGGACGTCCATGATTTATGGGTCCATCAAGTACACATGGGAAGAAACACACCGTAGGTGTATTAAGCTTGCATCTGCTCTTAACGGTTTAGGGGTTTCTCGCGGTGACGTTGTAAGTATTTAGGTTTATTTCATTCATGCCCAATATAGTCCAAAATACTTCACTTCATTTTTTTATAAAGAAGAAAAAAA